GAATTAGATCAAATGTGGTGCCCACCAGAGACCAAGCCTTTGAAGTCACTTAGCACTGGTGATAATTTGCCCCTGGGTCTCCCTGCTATTATGGGAAGACTAAAACTTGGGGAATTTTCATTTATGACTCTAGAAAGTGAGTTGGCAGTGTTCACTGTAAATTCATTTATGAGGTCAGAACTCCAGGACTGGGAATACAGCTGATCACACAGGGTGAATAGGTGAATAGAGAGGGCCTCCTTGTCATTTCCCATCACCTTGGACTAGGGGCATCCAAGGCCCGGGTCTGGGTGTGTAGTCTGAGCTGCTGAGGGAGCTTCCAGGGCTCTCGGTAGCTGAGAAGGACTTGACCAGGGCTGGGGGATATCCTAGGGAGTTAGAGACCACTTCCTGTCTGCTCCAGGCATGGCCTCTCTCACTTCATTTCTGCAGTGCTGGAGGTTTGCAAACTAGACACCCACGGCCTTTAAAATTTTCATTTTTTAAATTAATTAGTTTTGTGTGCATGTGTACATACTCATGCCGTAGTGTGAGTGTGGAGGTCAGAGGACAGGAGTCAGCCCACCCTGTGGGCTCTGGGGACTGAACTTAGATGGTCAGGATTGCTGGCAAATGTCTTTTCTCAATGAGCCATCTTGTTACCCCTCCCCCCCCTTTTTTTGTGGAGACAAGGACTCATTCCAGGCTTACCTTGAACTCCCAATCTTCCTGCTCCAGTCTTCCAAGTGTTGGGATTCTATTGGGGCACCACCTGGTTTTTGGAAGAACTAACCCCCAGGCACCAGTGATGAAGCTGGGGCTCGCATCCAACCCTGGTTTTCCTATTTTGGGGAAGCCCAGACCCACAGGTCAGCTACAAGTTTCAGGTGGGACGTGACTGCGTTGCGTGGAGATGAACTGCGTGGGGGACACAGGCTTGCCTTTCAGTGTCTGGGGAAGATAATCCGCTAGTCTGGTAGTGGTTCTGAGATGTTCTTTCCGCCATCTTGACAGTGATTCTCGCCTCCTCACCTTGGGATGTGGTGGCTCCCCTCTCCCCACCTGGGACTTGTTGTCTTTAACACTTTTTTGTTTGTTTCCTGAGACAGGGTTTCCCAGTAGCTATGGAGCTTGTCCTGAAACTACCTCTGTAGACCAGGTTGGCTTCAAACTCAGAGGATCCACCTGCCTTTGTCTCCTGAGTGCTGGGATTAAAGGCATGCACCACCACCGCCTGGCTCATTAACACATTTTTTAAAAGACAGGGTTTCACGAGTGTAGTAACCCAGGCTGGCCTTGAACTCACATAGTGAGTGCTGGGATTATAGGTGTGTATCCTTATATGTGTTTCATGCAGTGCTGGAGATTAAAAAAAAAAATCTGGGGCTTCTTTCATAACAGGCAAGCCCTCTACCAGCTGAGCCACAACTCCAGCCAGTGTGTACTAACTCCTGAGACTAACAAATGCAGTTTAGGAGGAGGGAGTGGGGAGCTGTACTTTTGAGAGTGCTTTGAGTGCCAAGGTGTGGGCAGGGTGCTCTCCACACATTTAACTGGATCTCGAGACAGTGCTGTAGGATGTTAGTTACCTGCCTGGAAACACACACACACACACATACACACACACATACACGTCTCTAGGCTATTGACAAGTAGGGAATAGGAGTTTGGCAATCTAACTGCCTCCCATGGTAACTCAGTCCGGCCCTCCTGCAGAAGCCTGGGACAGGAGGATCTGAAAGTATCATTTCATTTCTGCACTCCATCCATAAGCAGCATGAGCAATGTATCAGCTCCCGCGGTCAACATCAGATGACATTTTCTGCCTCTGGTCATCAGAGTCCCCATCCTGGTGCTTACCGGGATGCCCTTGGCCGTTCTGATAGGAGCCTGGGGGGCAGCGGAGGTGGGAGCGCTTTGGGTCTGGAAGCGCTTGGCAGCTGCCGGCCTGCTCTTGGTTCTCAGGTGACTGCAGCATTGAGTGTGAGAAGTTGTTAGCAGTAACCTTGACTCTTCTTCCGAAGGGCCTGTTTCTATTTTGAACCACGCGTGCGTGCATATTCATGTGTGTACGGTGTATATGCGCATGCGTGTTTGGACATGCAGGCCCCAGGACATTATCAGATGTTGTTTCTCAGTTTCGATTAAATAAGATGTTGTTTCTTATGGGTCTCTCACTGGCTTGGGGTTTGCCAGCGAGCATAGGCTGGCAGATCATTGACCTCCCAGGGATAAACCTGCCTCTGCCTCTTCCGCACTGGGATTACAGGCTACTTTACATGTCTGGCCTTCTACGTAGATTCTGGGGGCTCAAACTCAGGCCCTCAAGTCCTCAGAGCTTTCAAGGAAAGCCCTCTATGAATGGAACCCTCTCCCCAGCCCCTGCTGTGGAACACCTTAAGGATTTATTCCAAACTGGTGTCGGACTGGGGTCATCTATCTCCTCTTCCTCCCATTTGCAGCCTTACAGAGCCTTGGTTTCCTCATTCATCAGAAAGGAAATATGCTAAGGACCCCAGGGCTTAGGGGAAGCAAAGGAGAACATGTCAGGCGTGTGGCATAGGCCACAGTAAATGACCCAGTCACTCTTGGCGCCCGTCTTGCCCAGGGTGTCTCATCTCAACTGGGCTCCTGCCGCTTCTGCACCAGGGAACTCAGCTCCATCTGAGCAGCTTCTGCTTTTTTCTCCCTGTGGCTGTTGCCTTGGCTCATCAGGGAGGCTGTCTCTTGCTCTCTTCCTCACTGTTCATTCCCTTAGGGCTGTGTGTGCACTAATGGCACAGTCCAGGAGGATTCCCATGAGGGGTGCTTAAGACTGGGGGCCTATCAGGCCCATGGCTTGGCATGGCATGCTGGCACAGGTTGGCATGGTTGGTCATTGAGCTAAGTGCAAGTGTTGACGGTGCTACCGTTCTAGTGGTGTGGCACCGGCAAATGATTTGGTATCCTTAGGGATCTGCTTCAGGGGGAACCTCTGGTGTGGGCAGTTCTGGGGGACTGTCCTCCTTCTCACCGCTCACCACAGTGGCTAGAATTCCTCCATCCCAGACCTTGCCCTCTCTCAGGAGACGGAACAATAGTTTTTAAGGTTCCCACGTGACTCCAGGATGTCGTAGAGATCGAGGCATTTTGAGCCCTCTGCCCTTGGCCGTGATGCCTGACCAGGCCGGTCCCCCCTGTACTACAGCCGAATGTCCCTGGGTTGTGTGAGCTGCTCCTTAACCTTGCTCTGCCGCTGTCATGGTATCCGGAGCCAGACACCAAAGCTGTGTGCTAGCACAGCCGAAGGGACTGTCCCCAGTTGGGTTTCGGAGTGATTCTGTCAGAATCATCACCAGCGCCCCCTACAGGCTCTGCCTTCTCTTACCTGTGTGAGCTTGCTTTTGCCTTTTGCCTCTTCTGTGGTGACCGCCCCCACATCCAGCGTCTCCCAGTTCCTTCACACTAACAGCTTTTACTTTGTTGGGAGTTTCACTGGGCTCCGTCAAAAATATCAAAAACCATCACAGTTTTTTGTCGTCTTTGTAAGTAGGGGTGGGCCGGGAGCTTTGTAAAGTTGGAGGGTGGAGCTTTCTAGAAAGCCTCTTAAAGGTCGGTCGCCCAGGCAACACTACCCGTCTTCAGTCCTTACCATCCTTTCCTTCCGTCTGGAATAGGAGCACTCAGGATAGTGTTCCGGCAGCTACACTGAGACGAGGTCTTAACCTCAAGGCTAGAAATCACATGCTTAGGTTGGCAGTGTAGTAATCTAGATGAGCCTTGGGATTCGGATAACAGACAGCTACCAGCGTGGCCTGTCTCCGAAATTCATGTTGCGTGAAGGAAGACTCACCCACTCCCTGGTTGAAGCCATGGCTATGTCTGGCCTTCTAGTCACCAGATTTCAGTTCATAACGGATACTTTCATAAAGCAATCAAATATCAGAAGCAGTGTCAGCATCTCCTGCCCGCCACCTCCTCTGCTCTCACTGCCTTGTGCCATGAGCGTGTGGAGGTCAGAGGGCAACCTGAGGGAGCTGGTTCTCTTCTTGCACCTTTAGGTGGGTTTCAGGAATGAGCCATCTCATCCTTTTCCTGGTGGGCCATCTCACCAACCCCACATTTAACCTTTAAACAATGAGTTAGTTGCCAACATTTCAAAAGGTCTTCTTTTCCCATAAGAACCCAGCTTTCTTAGAAAGCCTGCGGAGGCAGGGTCTTCCTTTCTACTCTTGACAATGAGTTGGAGCCGAGGCACAGTTGCCTCTCAAAGGACACCCGACTCACCTCCCAGGGTTTCTGAAGATAGCACACCCTGGAAATGCTGATGAAACATGCCGGAAGTGCCTTTCTTCTCAGTCTCCCAACTCAACCTTCAACAGAATCTCTCTCTCTCTCTCTCTCTCTCTCTCTCTCTCTCTCTCTCTCTCTCTCTCACACACACACACACACACACACACACACACACACACACCCAGTGGGCATGCACCTTTGAGAAATGTGGAGAAATCAGTCTGTTGAATGTCAGGAAATAGTTGATGTAGCTCCTTCCCGGGGCTGTCTCAACTTTTCCTCAGGGCTGCCCTGTGGCCTCTCCGGATGAAGAGTAGCACATAGTGTCCCCGTGGGGACAGCGTGAGTCATGGGGACCTCAGAGGACAGCTGCATTGGGTATGGGATGGGGATTGCTTCAGTAGCGTTGATGACCACATTGTGAGTTGACTTTGAGCCTGACCTGTCTCAGCTCCTCTACCAGGTCAGAGGTAAGACCGTGTAGAGGATCTCCCTGTGGGTACAGAGAGGTCCTGCTCTGCTTAGGGTCTGGTTTTTCTGGGAAGCAGGGCTCTGTTCCTGGGGCCAAGCACAGTACATGTTTGTGAGGCCAAGGGGACTTGTGGGGACCAGGGCTGTAGGCGGTCTGACTGAGGAGAGGCTGCTGGTCTACGTGGTTGGTCATGGTTTCTATTAAGACAGTGTTTATCACCTTCGAATTGCTTCTCAGAGGAAATGAATGGCCAGCCGACAAGCAGAACTTAGAGATGTAATGTCAGTAAAGAGGCTTTGCTTTATTCATATATATTTCTGAACACAGACATTACATCCTAGCTCACTGGAAGCCAGACGACTCCTCAGATTTTCAGTTCTTTGTAGGAATAGGAGTAACATTACTTGGGGTCCAAGTGCAAATTTTCACTGATTTTCAAGTGTAGCCACACACCCTTTAAGCTTGAACTTTTATTCCATTTATCCAAACATCAAATAGGCTGGCGACATTTCCAAGCAGGCCAGCTTGAGGAAAACCACTTTCATCATTTATTAACAGGCCGAGCATAATTTTCATACGGTTCAGTCATTCAGATTTATTACAGAACACCATTTAATAAGAAAAACATTAAATGGATCAATTGAATTCAAGTCCTTCTATAAAGAGAGCGTTTAAGTTCTCTTTTGATTAATGTTAGCATTTAAGGGCTGTCACTTTTACCTTCTGGTTACTGAATTTATCAAATATCAGGTTTCCCTTAAATAAAAAAAAATCAGCTACACATCCTATCTCCCATGCCTGAGCTGGCTTTTCCGCCCCAGGCAGTGCCCCTTTCATTCCCTGCCCTGCTCTGGTCACGGGCTGCTCTTGGGCCCCGACCTTCAGTGGGTTTGTGTCATGCAGGTGGAGGGGTGAAGAATGGACAGGGGGATCAGGGTCACCCCTACCTTCCTTCCTGAGGGTCACTACAACTGTGTGTCCCCCCAGTCTGGAGGTGCTAACCCTGCCACAAAGCTTTCTCTGTCCTTATTGCCCCTTCAAGTGGCACCGGTACAAGGAGTCTATCCCATCACCCCTCTATGCAAGCCATATCTCTCTGAATTCCTCCAGACGGGAGTGTGCCATGTACTTCATGCCGGAACCACCGTGGACACAAAGACACATGTGATGAACAGAGATGGTCTTTAAGAGGACTGGAGAAAAGTCAAGGTCATAAGGGAGCAAACCAGCCCAGCGGAAGCCTCCGTGGACACTCCCAGCCTGCAGCCTCCTTCAGGAGAGACGTGCCCCAGGGTCTCTTTCAGCCCGGTTTTCCCTAGTGTAGTTCTCTTGGGTTCAAAGCTCCAGGCCTCTGCATGACAGGCAGAGAACACCCTAAGACTGCTTTGGGTTTCCAAGGGGAGCAGTCATGGGCTGGGCAGTGGGTGACCCGAAGGTCAGAGGACATGCAGCCTGGTGATTACAGCGTGCCTCTGACTGGCTCATCACCCACTTTACAGCAGGGGCATAGGTGTCTAGTGGATGTATAGGATGTATCGTGGATACGTTCCCTAGTGGATGTATAGGATGTATCGTGGATACGCTCCCAAGCAGGCCACCTACATTGTGCTATGTAAGCAGTCCATTCTCGGGGCGGGGGAGTCCCCTCTGTCTTTGACATGTCTGTCTTAACCAATCCCTCCTTATCTGCCACTTTTCAGTGTTGGCTTATGGCTGAAATTCAAGCTCCAGAAGATAGTGTTTCTTTTTCAGACTGTGTGAACTTGGAAATGAGCAAGTTTTTCTCAGTGATGGTGCCAATTGTTAAAAAAAAAAGAAAGAAAAGAAAAGAAAAATCTTTACTGTGGCTGCTCAGAGGGCGGGGCCTTTGGTCCCCCTCCTCAGTGGAGTGTGTTGTGGGGGTGCTCACGGAATGATGCCAAGCACCAGTCACTGTACTTCTGTTTTATTTTGTGTGCTTTTTTTTTTTAAAATAGGATATAAATAATGACAAAAATTACAAAATTTATAACTGGAAGCCCAAGCTTATTTACACACACGAATGTGTTTCGGCAAAGCCACAGGCTGCTTCGCTCCTATACAATTTCCTTTTGGTACCATATTTTAGTGTTATTTTCCTCTCGGTTTACTACATACATATCAACAGTGAATAGGCAAAATATATACAAGGAACTATTCAGTTCAAGTAATTTAATATTGTATTAAAATTCTCCGACACTGAACTAAAACCATATACATTTGTCAGTGGAAATGAAATTTAGGTTTTTTTTTTTCTTCAAAACTCACCAACTGATGAATGTGATAATCTCAGGTTTAAAATAATATTGGTTAATAAAAAAACATTAAGACAAGTTCACAATTTATCAATATCGCTATAATGAACTTCAAAATGAGTCACAATATGATCGGTTAGAACAATATACATTAAAATGTTATTTTTCTATAATGATATTGGTACTGTTTATATAATTTGATTCTACAGAAATATACATTATGGTATCATACAAATACTCCACAGAGACATTAAAAAAATTAAAATACCTTAAAGAAACGTAAGTAAATTTAATCAAATAGTAAGCAAACATTTTTTAATCTGTTTCAAGAAAAGTCTTTATTACTTTGGAATTTCTTCTTTTTTTGTGTTATTTATTTTTTTTTCTAGAAAAAAATTTGCAATAGAATTTTATTAACACCATTCTCAAACAAGGTTTCCATGACAGAAATCTTGACAGCAGGAGCCCTAGATTATATATATATTTTTTTGTTAAACATGTTCTTTAAAACACTTCGAAGGTTAAAAAAAAAAAATCCCTAAAAACCACTCGTGCGGGCTCTGGCTGCGTCAGCACTTCGGGTCACCCCGAGCGGGCGCGAGCCCGATCTCCTGCCTTCGGGACAGCGTCAGAGGTTGTCACAACTGAGCCGATCCTCGTGCCGTGGAGACGGAGTCACTTGAAACCAGAAACATCCCGCACAGCAAGTGCAGTGTTATGAATGCATTAATGAAACATTCTTTTAATAAAAATATTTAATACAAGACACATTTTTTTCTGTGCATAATAAATTCCTCTGTTTTAAATCACTTTTAAATTTTTGAATCATTCAATAAAGGTTTCCTTTATCTGACCTAGTCGATTACATATAAAATCCACAAATATAGAAATCGGGAGACGGAATTTCCTGGCAATCATGAGGGTTGCTTTGTCTTTTTGCATGAGACTGCACTCGGTGATAACAATGATTTTACAGATGCTTTTGGGGGGGGCGCTAGTACTGTCCTGACTTTCCCTTCAAAACGGCTGACGGTGAAAACTTAAACCCCAAGATGTTTGTAGACTTTTAGGCAGTACTGGAGACCCCCTCCATCACTTTTAAAAAGATTTTCTCCCCAACTAAAGCAAAGCAAGTACGGGGCGGTCGAGCAGTACCTCGGAGGCGGTGGTAGCGGAGTTGGGGCGCCCCGCGCAGCCCCCCCAAGCCCCGCGCCTCTAGGGGCGACAAAGTCTCGCTGGCAGAAAGCTCCCTAGGGATGGCCGGCGGCCTTTCCGCCCGTGACGAGGCCACGCGAACTGAGCAGTCTTCCTCCCGGGCGGGTGGACACGGAGGCGCGAAGGAAAGCCTGCTGCGGGGACTGCTTGGCGAGCAAGGCACCGCGAGGACGGGGCGGCGAGTATCAGAAAATCGTGGTTTCATACTTGGTATTAATGGCCCTCTTGGCTTCTTGCCCCGGCTCCACAATCCACGGCAGATTGGCCAGAGTCTTTTGCTCAGAAGGGTCCATCTGCTTTAAAACAGAAAGGCTGATGCCCGTTATCCGGCAGCTGGGCGGCGGCGCGGCCGCGGGGGCGCCGCTGGAACCCC